AAGTCCATGCATCCTTTAAATAATTTTTTTTTTTTTTTTTTACATTTTCACTTTTTTGCACAAAATTATATATATATTACAATTATTTACACATATATTTTTGTCTTCTATGAAGTTTGACTGCAAAAAATTATAAATTTGTCATGCCAAAAAAAAAAAAAAAAAAAAATTGGTTTGACATAAGTTCACAACTTACTCATTGAGAAACGAGACCGAGGAACGTTCTGACATAAATGGTCCAGAATGCATACGAGAGGTTGAAAAATTGTACGAGACCATGAACATTTTCTGGGCACATGGTATTGAAAAATAGTTAAATTGTTGAGATCACTTGATTTCAATTGTAACTCAACTCTCTTTTTGTATAACTTAAAACATGCACGAAAAGATTCAAAATCATTTGTCCCCGTTTGACCCCATTTTCTCAAATTCATTTTTAACCAAACATTTTATAAATCCACAAGTAACATTTAAATTATAATACAATAATTTTAATCAAAATTTATTAAAAAATTGATTTTAGATAAAACCAAAATAGGTTAATATATACTCAGATATTATTTCTTAGGGTGTAAAATGCTCATCGCAATGAGATGTCTGGCTTAAATTTTAATAAATTTGGATAATGGTTACCCTCAAAAGGATGTTAAGATAACTTGTTTAAGCCACATTATTTTCAAAAAAATATATTTTTCAACAATAATTTGACATCATTTTAAATACACAATTTTCAATAAAATAATATCACACGCAAATTTAAATTTTTTCCTTATTTTTTAACTACACATTTTTCATTGATTTAATATAAATAATATATTTTTTCCTAGAATGTGGCTCAAACATGGGCTAACTAAAGGCCCATAGTTTCAACCCGATCAAACACATTCCTAACTGAATAATTGTTTTGGTTTTACTTCTTGTAGACAATTTCCAGATTCACATAAATCGCCCTATAGATATTGAAAAATCACGTTACTCTTCGAAAAGTTCACGTTTCTCCAACTAGTGATTTTTTTTTTTTTTAATTTTTAAAGCTAAACCAATATGATTTTTAAATACCTTGACTCGAAAGAAAAAGAAGAAGAAAAAAAAAGGTTATTAGGAATAGAAACATGTATGAACTAGAAATTAACACCTTAAAACCTCAGATTTTTAAATTTCAACATTTTGAGCTAAGATTAAGCCCCCGTTTGGCCCCCATTTTTGGTAATGAAAATGGGAGGAATAGCATTTTGTTGAAAAATGAGTGGTTGAAAAAGAAGGAAAAATTTTCTATTTACGTGTAATATTATTTTATGGAAAATTGTGTGGTTGAAAATAGGAGAGAAAGAAAAATAGAATGTAATTTAATGGGTGCAAACAGGGGCAATTATATTACAGGTACAAAACCTTATCATAAAGTTGGACATACAAGTATTCCTCGACGATTTAACTGGTATTTAGAAGGTTTACAACACGAAGAACTAATCGTGTAACTTAATGGAAGAGTGAAGATTAAATTATTCATTTAGAAAGGTTGAACACCAATTTGATAAATACACAATAAGTTGAGGACTGATAATGCAAGTTTTAAAAGCAGAAAAGTCCAAATAGAATAGAAAAGTCAAAATATTCAGTAATTAATTGTCCCCAGGGGCCAGTCCGCCACTCCAACACTCAACCCTACGTCACAAATTACACTTTTCACTTATTTCCCCCATACTGGACCCCACGAGTTAAGCAAAATGAAGACTCAGGACCACTGGTTCACAGCCCAACCGAGTCAAATATAACTCGGCGCTGTCTCCTTCATCTCAGACACCACGTAATTGTGTAAAACTGTATTGTGTGCCCCCGCCTCCACGTGGGGACCTGACAGAATTTATGCAGTCTGAAAATTACAGTACTCTACAGTTCACAGTTTTTACATACACATGCCCATCCTTTTCCTACGCAACTCACAATACACTCAAACCTTATCCAATGACAATTTGACAGCGCATACCTTAACCTGCCACCCTGATACGCCAGAACTTATCAGTATGCCCTCATTTGATTCTCATTCATCGGCCAAAAAATTTAAAATATAATTGTTATTCATCACATTAAATTATTATATTTAATTTTTTATTTCTTATGTAGATCTTGTAACGATTATATTTTTTATTCTCATTCTTACAAAAATTGAAATCAAATAGGACCTATATGTGTGTGTGTGTGACACCCCAGTGTACAAAACTCCTCATAAGAAAATTATGTACAAATAGTTATTTTTTGAGAATGTGTAATCAAAAAAGAAGAAATTTTTTTGATTTACATGTAAAATTATTTTGTAAGAGAATGTGTGGTTGAAATGAATTTTTTTAAAAAAAATAATTTTTTCAAAAGAATTAGGGACCAAACATAATCGTACAGAAAAAAATTAAATTAAAGGTGAAAATAAGAATTATTTATTTTAAATGAGCGTAAATTCATTAATTATCAAAATATATTTTCAAAAAATTTGCTTGAAATATATTATAGGTAGATTACAAAAGAAATCAGTATATTAAGCCCATATTTGAGCCCACTATATAAAAACTAATTTTTTTTCACAATAGTGAATTTTACACCATCAAGTATGTCGAGCCTGTAAATTACAAATAAAATAAACAATAAGGAACATTCCAAAATTAAAAATATTTAAAGAAAGAAAGAATAATAAAAAAAATATTTAAAGGAAAATTCATAATTTTTCCAGTTTCAATGCCCTAATTATTGCAATATTTGTTTAATTCAGAGAATCTACTTATCCACTTAAAAATATAAAACTCATTAAATGGCTTGGACAATAAATAATAAAATACTACAAAATTAGGACAAGGCAAAATAAGAATTTTAAAATCGTAAATATTCTAATATTTCGAACACTAGGGAAGAAAGACAAAGTTTAAGCTTACTTTTCAGAACACTAATTTAAATAATAATAATAAAAAAAAAAGAATTAGGATTTCATTTATTGATTAAAGAAATATAGAAAAAGTCGGAGGCGCCGCTCTTAAAGCGGGGTAGGGCATACGTAAGCTAGTTTTGGAGTTGTTTATAGCCCACACCCCCAGGCCACAACACGTCTTATCAGGCGCGGGGGCTCTTGCCTGCCTAAGTTTTGGAGTTGTTTATACGCCCACTACTCCTATTTATTTATTTATATGTATTTTTCTTTTTTATTTAGTTCCCATTTGATTGCACGAAATTTTTCATAAAATTTGGAATTCGAATTCTAACTTCCATTTTTGGCCTGTTTGATTGAAAAAATTTCCTAGTGAATTGATTTTTCATGAATTTCTAGGAACAAAACCTTAAAGCTTGATTTTTCAACTTTTATTTTCCTAGGGGTAGGTGGTTTTTGATTTTCCACATTTTTTTTCTTTTTATTTTTTAATTGTTGGCAATGAGAACAAATTTTAGTAATAATTGTAAAAGATGATATCTCTGAAATCGATAATTTTCACGTAAAATAAAGCTAAACGAACATCAAAATATAGATAATTTTTTGATCATTTTTTTTTAGTTGGTAATGGAAACAAATTCTATGAACAATGGTAGAAGTGGATATCCCTTGAATTGACAATTTTCATATAAAACAAAGTCAAACGAACACCAAAAAACACTTTTACTTCAATATTTTTCACGTGAAAAATTATACCAATCAAATACAATAATTTACAATTCTCAAAAAAACAATTTCTAAGTAATTCAATTCCCTGAAATTCATTTTCTTTCCACCCAAATTCAATATTCGCAATCAAACAGACACTTACTTCCACACATATAGCCCTTGTTTGAGCCACATTATTGAAATGAAAATGTATTTTTAAATATTGTATTGATAAGAAATGTGTGATTAAAAAATAAAGAAAATTTTTGAATTTACAAGTAATATTATTTTAATGAAGAATGTATAGTTAAAATAATGTCAAATTACTGTTGAATAATATATTTAAAAAAAAAAAAAAAGTGGCTCAAACAAGACCATAATTTAGTTTGCCTATTAAGTGATACTCTACGTTCTAGCGTTTACCTCTATATTTGACCAAATCGAAAACGGGGTTTTGATGTTCATTATTGACCTTTCGCCTGTAAAAAAATCTGTCACGGCGAGCAAAGACTTGGCTTTGGCAATAATTATTTTAAGTCAACGTTTTAAATACTTTTCGTATGAATTGGATTGAAATAATATCAAGAATTGGTGATGGAACAAAAGTTGGCCAGTGGTTAAAAAATTAAAATCATAAATAATATTATTTTCCTTTTTTTTTTTCCAAAATTGAAATTTGAAAGATGAGATCTTACTTTGGGAAAAATACTATAGGGTCAAATCGAGAATTTAAATCTCAAATTGTCAAATTTTGACAGGACATGTAACGTAAGCAATTAATCGTTTAAACGCTCCAGAAATATGACACATATTGCAAGGAATAAAGTTGCCATGAAACTTTAAAACTCATGTTAAAAACGTTACGTAATACGTATATTGATATGATAATACATAGAGTTGTTGTATGGCTTAAAAAAACTCAAGTAAAAAACACGACATATATTGATAATATATATGGGATTAACGTAATGATTTAAAATTCAAGGCTCTGTATATATTTAATGTTTCAAAGTGCGTCAATTGAATTTCTATAAAGTAGCAGTGGAGATTATATACGGTAACAAGCCAAGAGTTTTAAATTTAATTAACACAAACAAGAACTTCTTATTATAAAATTATCGATTAGTTAAATTGGAATAACACATTGTAAGGCAAAAATTATGTGCATTAACTGATTTGAAGAAAAACATTACTACGGACGTCATTGTGTGTGCAATGGTCAACTTTTATGGGAAATATTTGATCCAAATCAAACGGTGGAGGGGGGGAAAATGGACTAGGTCTTGATTTACACACAACGACGCCTTAGTTGTTAATTTAAGCCGTCCAGCCGACGATTACGGGAGACTCAGTGGGACCCAAACTTTTTCACACACACGCACTGCCGCAAAACTCTTCTTTTTAGGTCTCAGCATATCGTCGTCTCTCTCTAGAAAACACAACACAGCTTATATTTCTCTCTCTAGAATCTTCTCTCTTTGCGATGGCTTCAACGCGTGAGGGCCACTATAGAGGAGTGAGGAAGCGCCCATGGGGCCGGTATGCGGCGGAGATACGTGACCCGTGGAAGAAAACCCGGGTTTGGTTGGGCACTTTTGACACCCCTGAGGAAGCTGCGCTAGCTTACGACGGCGCCGCCAGGTCCCTCCGCGGTACAAAGGCGAAGACCAACTTTCCGGTCGCGCCGCTTGGTCATCACTTGGATCTCAACCTTCCTTCAGATCATCGGTGGGTCTCTCCGTCAGGCACTCTTGTGATAAATGACTTCCTCCGGACTGGAGTGCTCAAAGATGCGAGTTTCAAGGCTGGCGATAATAGCTCATCTCCAGTGGGCAATGGCGGGCACGTAGCCACCTCATCTGGGCCTCCGGTGTTGGAAGGCGACGGTCCCGTGAAATATTTTGGGATTGCGAGACGTGGGTTGCCCATTGACTTGAACGAGCCTCCACCCTTGTGGATGTAACTAGGTATTTTACTAAAGGTGTTACACAATGCACCGGCAAGGTTCTGTATTTAACATTTTCCGGCGATGTTGATGTTTTCAAGAAGTTGCTTATAGTTTTCTTGGACTTATGGAAAAGATCACTATGAGAATCTAGTATGTATGTGTATATCTCATCTTCAAGCTTGATCGTTATTAATTATGTTGAAATTTATCCATTCGAGTGGTTCTTTGGATCATGTTACAATGACATAATCGTTCGCATAGCACATGATACTAAATCATTAGATTATTTTAAACATAGTTAATTTATTCGTCCAATCATATCTCATCAAATCACATTATCTCATTAACCACTTTGGCATAATCCTTGTTCTTTTGTTGCGTAGTTATCCATGCGAATATAACATTTGTACATTTAATTATGTTAAACTTTTTAAAGACATGCCAGTATTAGACGAAATGAATTGTATAAATACACAGAATTTTAACTTTTTTTACCGTAAGAATCTATACATATTTGTGTATGGAGTGGAGTGTAAGTGCAAGTGAGGCTATTTCCATTCCCAGCTTAATACACAGCACCGGACAAGGTTTTCCCGTATTGGATTTACCTTTGCAGCGTACAAATTTGTATGAAAACAGTAATATTTATTGGGGTTGGATTTGTTTGGACGGATTAGAGTATGTTCACGTGCCCTTCGGAATACCTTGATTTGACCCTTCACCCGTCCCTTTTTTGCCACTCTTTTTACGTGTAAGTTTAGTTTTTACTTTTTAGGTGATCATTTAATAATTAATTTATAAAATATATTTATATCTTTGGAAGAAAAGTATGAGGTATTTAAAATAACAAATATGTTAAAAAAGAAATGTTACTTTCATCTTTCTCAAGTTAAGCCAAAAACATCGATGTGATAGTTTGACATCAAATTTGATTTATGCATTAAAAGCAAAATATAAATGGTTTGACCTATTGTATTGTTGGAACAAATCTTCCAAGTTGTCTTGGCGGGAAAAAGGGTAAAAAATATTGGATTATAAGAAAAAATTAGACGATTTGAAATCACATTAACTAATAACGAAATTTTAATAGTTGATCCGACCTAAGCTCGTGCAGTGCTAAGTCCCACGAGCTCTTCCACATTTGATTCAATGTCTAAAGTCCAAACGACATTCTTTTGAAAATTCTCCAACATGTACTTTGAGCGAGTAATTTAGACTACACGAATTTATTTAAGTTTAATCATGTTTCTCTAAAATATACTTTAAACAATTATATAATAAATGAAAAAGAAATCTTTGAATTGCAATTCATGGAGAGAGACAATAAAAAAATGTATCTCGGTATTAATTTAAATCACAGTACTTTCTGAAAATAATACTGACAAACTAAATATTGTAAAAATATTAATTATTATAATGCTGAAAACTTTAGATTGACGTCATGGAGGTGGGGTTAGGTAGTGTAAGGGAGTTAGCGACGCGTGGGTGGTTTGCAGTCTTTTGAGTCACTTTCTCCCATTCTCTGTCTCCTCGGAATCTGTCGTCCTTTTAATAATCTTATTTTGACTAAATCAATACTAAAATAAGTCATAAACTTATTGGATAAAACCCAAAATGAGGGTTAAGTGGGTTTAAATTAATTAGTGGAAGTTGGATTACCAAAAATGAAAGAGACACACAGATGTATTTCTAAAATACTAAATAATTTTATTCATAAAATTCTAGTTTGAACCCCATTCGTTGTTATCAAGAAATTAACATTCAGGCGGTGATAATAAAGTCATTTGTCACTGTCACTCTTCTTGTTATTAAAAAATGGACAGTGCTTTCTAAAGTCGACGCTAATTTTTTCTTCCTAATTTCAGTAGGATTTTTTTTTTTAATCTTTTTGTGATAAAGTATGCACTTTGAAGCAAATTATTCGTATAAAGAGATTGAGATGGAGAATCTAGCATTTTGTTGGTTGGAAAATGTTATTCTTTCAATTTTTGAGAAATTCGATACGAAATATTTTTTCATTCCGAGGCTTTTTTTTAGAGTAAACTATCTTTTAGTCATTAGGATTTTTAAAATAAAAGTTGGATCCATTTTTTATTGTGCAATAATCTTATTCATAGGCGATTTTTTTAAGGGGATTTCAATCATTTTCGTGAGTTGAAATTCTTTCGTCAAAGCACATGGATATTTGTGTTATTTGCTTCCATGTGTTTAGTGCACTAAATTCAAAGTTGATTACGTCTAAATTTGAATTAAGTTTCCCAACGACAGGTCTTTAGTCTCGTTGTCTCTTTAGTATGTGATTATCGTTTATCCATACCATCGAGTCCTTTTATTTTTTTAACGCTTGATGACTTAGTGACAAGAGAATGTAATGACTTGATAAAATGATTCAAAATAAGCCAAACACGACGTTTTTCTTATTTTCAAGTGTAAGCTATCCCAAACATGTAACTGTTGGATATTGGTTAAATAAATTGAGAATTGAAAATCGATTAAAGTTCGTATCGAATTCGGCCAAATACTTAAAAGCTCGACTCAATCCGTTTAGGCAAAATTGTTTGCCACTTCGCCGCTTCGGGGCGCACAAACGGGGATCGACCTGACCGGTCAGGTCGCGAGGGTCGAGGGGGCAGCGCCCCCGAAAGAGAATTTTGATTTCTCTGCATGTATTGAAGGGTATATTTGGCATTTCGAAAATCAATATCGGATGAATGAGAAATTACGAAAAAGACCTCAACCATTAGTGAATAGACACCTTTTCATAAAGGTGCATTGTTTGGAAAGGGTGCATGGTTTGGCCTCAACCATTTCGTCC